GCTATATATGTATATATATATATATATATATATATATATATATATATATACATAAATGTATAAAATTATTGCAAAATGTACACAATTAGTATTATATCTAGTATTATATTAGTATTACACTACAGCAATAGTATGACTTTTGCGTAACTTCTGTAATCTTATATTAGTAATGTAACGTACGCACGCGATGATTTTATTATCTCTTAACTTTCCTCTCGTACAACTTAGCACAGCTGAGAATAAATTTCATGATAGGTAACAAATTAACGCCAAAACCTACGTTGCAAGTTACAACACCGTCGGCCGTGAAGGTCGTGCCGACCGGGACGAAACCCGTTGTGAAGGGCTTCGATTTGAGCGGTGTAGAAAACGCAGATTTACTGAGCCCGCGTTGCGGAAGCCCGTCTTCCAACCGGAATAGCCCTGAGACCAAACGCAAAGAGGATATCGTACAAAAGGAGAAGCGAGCGGCCTCGTCGAAAACGAACAGTCCAAGATGCCAGTCGCCCGTATCGGGCCATGTGACACCGGAATTGGACTCCAAAGGGAAACCTAACGAGGAGAGGGCGGACGTCGACGCGATATACAAGAGTAAAAGGGGCGACAGCAAGGAGCAGTTTCACTTGGTGGTCGTGGGACACGTTGATGCCGGAAAGAGTACGCTGCTCGGACGACTGCTCTGCGACTTGGGTCAAGTGCCACAGAGACTCATCCATAAGTATCAACAGGAGAGCAAGAAGATAGGAAAGCAATCGTTCGCCTACGCCTGGGTACTCGACGAGACCGGCGAAGAAAGGTGATTATTGCAACACATCCTATTACAACAACAGAGTCATTGGCAGGAAAATATACTAGTTCATAATGCGTCTTCAATAGAGAGCGAGGAATAACGATGGACATAGGCCACTCGAAGTTCGAAACAGACACAAAATCTATCACTCTCTTAGATGCACCCGGCCACAAGGATTTTATTCCGAATATGATAACCGGCGCCACGCAAGCGGATGTAGCTTTGTTGGTGGTTGATGCGACCAGGGGCGAGTTCGAAACTGGATTTGACAGCGGAGGACAGACGCGCGAACACGCCCTGTTGCTACGCTCGTTAGGTAATCTTCCCCAGTTTCGCGATTTTATTGTAAAAAATTTTTTTTTACAATTGTCAAAAAAAGAAGAAAGAATGTATATAATTATATATATTATATAATTTCGAATTTTTGTTGAATATTTAGGAGTGTCGCAACTAGCAGTAGTTGTTAACAAGCTGGATACGGTAAATTGGTCTAAGGATAGATTCAATGAGATAGTGGACAAGATGAGCGTATTCCTGAAGCAAGCGGGCTTCAAAGACACCGTCACCTTCGTGCCCTGCAGCGGCTTATCCGGAGAGAATATTGTAACGAAACCAAAGGAGCAGCTCTCTAATTGGTAACATCTCAATATTTCGCACACACACACACGTTTCTTTTTTTATCTATTTTTTTCTCACGAAATAACTTTGCAGGTATACCGGACCTACTTTGGTCAACGTTATCGATAATTTCAAGTGCCCGGAGCGGCCTATAAACAAACCATTCCGTTTTTCGGTGAACGACATATTTAAGGGCACCGGATCTGGTTTCTGTGTGTCTGGTCACGTTGAAACGGGCATGGTGTCCCTGGGCGACAAGGTTTTAATACTACCTCAAAACGAGATCGCAGTTGTTAAAGGTAAGCTTCCAATTAATTCTACAATGAGATTTAAGATTCAAGATTTAAGAAAATTGGCCAATCACACTCGATTATTCTTCTCTCACGTGAAATGAATAATCGACTATACTTGGCGAATTTTCTTAAATCTTAAGTCTCATTGTAGGCGATACTTTAAGCGGTGCCTACAACGAGACTTAAGATTTAAAAAAATTGAGCAAGCGTAGTCGATTATTTGCCTCACGTGAGAAGAATAATCGATTGGTCAATTCTCTTAAATCTTAAAGTCGTAAGTCTCATTGTAGACGTTTTAGGCAATGGTAGGTCGTCGTGATAGAAGAAATTATACTACACGTTACTTTAAATAAAACTTTAGGTCTTCAGTCGGATGAGGTTTCGACGACAAATGCGTTTGCTGGCGATCACGTTGCGCTGACATTGGCGGGGATCGAGCAGCAAAATGTGGGTATCGGCGATATCATCTGCAATCCGCAGAATCCAGTGCCCGTGACGACCTGCTTTCAAGCGCACGTTGTCATATTCGCGATAGCGAAACCGATCACGAAGGGGCTTCCAATAGTGATGCACCAACAGTCTTTGGTACAGCCGGCGGTTATCACGAAATTGATAGTGCAACTCCATCGCAGTACCGGCGACGTGGTCAAGAAGAAGCCGCGTTGCTTGCCGAAGAATTCCAGCGCGATCATCGAGGTCGCGACGCAAACGCCAGTCTGCATGGAGTTGTATAAGGATATTAAACAGCTGGGTAGAGTTATGTTACGATTGGAAGGAACCACCATTGCTGCTGGTTTGATTACGAAAATTTTGTAAATTTGATGACCTACAAACAGAATCTCGAATAGCGCAACGCAATTTATATACACGGACAAATTTTACTTTACAGATCTAACATATATACTTATATATATATATATATATATATATATATATATATAATATACATATATGTAAATACATATGTGTATATGTATATATTGCTATCGTATTTATACATCACACAAAATGACAAAACTGTAAACTCTATAGGTTGTTAGCTTATGTACAACAGTACGGAGAACTTTACTCAATTATTTAAGACTTTTTCCTTAATCAATATGTATGTGCGTATGTATACATATATATGTATATATATCCTATATTCGTAATCGTTATAAGCCATGGCACAAGCGTTGTGCCAATAAGTGATAGAACATGGTCGCCGATATGCATGATTCGGTAGTTCTATTGAATAACAATAAAAATTTCTTTATTGGAGAGAGAGAATCCATATTGTAAATAAATATGTAGTGCTATACAATTATATATATATATATATATATA